CCGTTGTGTTTGTTGAGCAAGAGAGTAAAAATTTGATCAATCCAATCCGTTTATATCGCTGGACACCAATTGAACCATCATTTCAAATCGATTGAATCAGTTTAGGACCACAGATTCACATAATTAAATAACAAAAAAAATATATAACATTTTAATTTTATAAAAATATAAATATAGCATCATATTAGTTCCATAATAACGATATACTATTCTAGAATTTAAACAATCATAAGAAAATTGGTTTTACCATAAATATTTAGATTATTATAAATTAAAACTAAAAATCAACAAAAAAAAGTCATAAAAGAAAACACTATGTGGGTTTAGGTTTGGATTTACGTTTTATATGGAATACGAGAAGATATTATGCAGAAATGTGTATAATATAAATATAGGGTATTTGTATACTGTCCAGATCGATTCCAATCCAGAGCCATGGGGTTCAATCCGGAACCGATCCGTGGACTATGAATTTTTAATTTTTCAATCCAGAACTGAATCACGGATTAAAAAAACCAATCCAAATCTATCGGATTGGACTGGACTGGATTGGATCGAATTACAAATTTCATGGATTCCTTACTCAACCCTAGTATTATTGATCATGTATCTTCTAAAAATAACAATGCTCAAAAAGTCAAAATATTACTAATACTTAAATATAATTTTTGCAATTAATTTGACATGTATTAGTGTAAATTTTTTTTTAAAAATCAAAGCAGACTATGCCTTATGGAAAAACCAATTAAATTTAACATTTTGGTCGATACAAGACAACTAGGTTCAACCCAGTGGTGACTCCAGAAATTTTTCTCAAGGTGTTCACAATGGGTACTCTAATAAATTTTTTAGGGTAAACGTTCAAAAATTTAATTTTTTTAGACTTATCAAATCACACAAATAAATAAAATAAAATAAAGTTCTAATATATTGATATCATTGTTTCCAAAAATAAAACATAGATACAAAATTTTACATAAATATATTTTGTTTAAAAAATGAGAGTTTTTATTTTTTTTATTCTTGTAGAGTTTGATTTCTCTATGGTTGATCTGTACAGTAAGTTATAAAATAAGCTTTTAATTGGTCAAGTGATACACTTGTTAAGAATTGCAAAATCACATAATTTTGTCAAAGAGGTACTTAGCACTGACTAAGGAAGCAAAACTCGAAAACATGTTGTGCATTTACTTCACAAATCATATATATT